ACAGGCGCGCTGCTGAGGAAGCTGTTCTTCCTCATCTCCGGGGAGCAGCTCGTACCTCGCTTTGCCGAAGAAGCAATGAGGGTGCACAGGGCTGGGGCCCTTTCCCCAGCGCGCTCTGCCGGCTGCGTCGGCGTGGGGGTACAAAGTGGGGCGAAACAGGTCTCTTCTGGCTCAGGCGTTGGTGTCGACACCCGCATTACCTGCATCGGCTGCAGACAGGAGATGCTTGGTGTTTTTTTTTTTTTCCCCAGTCTGGTGGTGCTCCTCTTGGGAGCGGAAGCTTTCTGAGCTTTCTTCATTGCAAAAGTCTCTTTGGTTCCTGTTTGCTGGGAGCCTGGTTTACGTGGGTACATGGAGCTGCGATGTTTGTAGCTGGAAGTGCTGGGAGAGTTGGGTGGTGCATGGTAGGCATTTAACTGGGCTGCGGCTGGGCAGCTCATTTCTGGAGCCTAAACTGGGATCTGAATGTTCTGGGTGGGTTTTAGGTCAAGGTGACTGTTCCATACTTGGAGTCATGCTGTATTAGTTTAAGAACATCTACTGCACTTGAGGTTTAATTTTTGGGAGTGGGGGAATGCTCCAAGGATCTGATTACTGCAGAATCTGACAAATTTTTATTCCAAGAAACACTTGATTCATAGGTAACACTTCTGAATAATACTAAGGCCTTCTTTTCTTACCTGTCCGCAGAGGACTTCTTATTTGAATCAGAGTGAATTTTAAGCCTATGAATGAGTTGCTCAGTGAGCAGCGGTGCCTCTGGTACAGACACTGCATGTGTATCTCCTAACGACCAGATAATTTAGATGAAAGTGTAAAGCTTTTGCCATATTACAGACTGTATGGTGAAGAATTTCTGAACTTAATCACCTCTCTGTTTTACTGTGCATTACTGAAAAATTAATTATTTTATTAATATACTTACAACGATGCTTCTGTTTTCTTCCTGCTCTCCTTTATTTAAAACCTGCATGTTCCTTTCATTTTACTGCTAGCTGTGTTTGAAAGCTCACAAATGGAACGTGCCTCTTGCCACCCTGTACTCTCTACAGGAAGTTTGATTAAAGGGGTCTGGCTTTTCAGATTGTAGTTAAATAGACAAACTAATATCAGAAAAGTATTCCCTGTTCTGTTGCTGTCAGAAACCTAGAAAATTCAAATGTAACAATTCCACGTGCAATTTGGAGGATGGTTAGTTGCACTTTAACTATGGCTGCGGTACATAGTCTCTCACCACACATCAGTACGGTTTGCAAGCAGGTCTCAGCACCAGAGTACAGTTGGTAACACTACACGTACAACACGTAACTTTCAAGACCAATGGATAAAAAGTATGGAAAGGGAGAATTCCTTTACTACAAGGCAATCTGTTAGTGGGGTTTGAGGTATTGCAGGTTTATAGGGGCTCAAGGAAGAGCCAAATGAAGCCTGACTTAATGTGTGGTATTCTGGAAAGCCCGTGGTTTAGAACCTGAATTACTTCTGGCACTATGCAAATGTCTTTCGAGACAACCCCACCCTAAGGACCTTGCAGTCAAAGGGGCTGATCCTACAGCCACTTGCATTTGTTTTCCTTTATTACCAGGTTGTTGGGTTGAAATGAGTTTAAGTTTTTATAGGCTCTGTACAGCAGGTAAATAACACAATCGGCATTTTAATGCAGTATGTGATTATTATGTTTGTATAATAGTTTATTATGTAATCCTCTGTTTATACTTACATAGTTTTTAGGGATTCAGAGCATTATTCTCTTCGTAAACCTGGGAATTACATACAAGTACCCTGTTACGCATTTGGTATTGTAGAGAGAGACACTTCTGAGCAAATCAGCTTAAGCTAGTAGTTACTGATGTATTGTGTTTTGGTTTTTGATAGTTACTGGAGGTTTTTTCGTATTTGAAAGTAGCTATATATAGTTCCTGACTCATTCATGTCATAGGACTTCTGTTGATCTGTTTTATGCTTTCTTGCAATTTGGAACCAATTTCATAGCTCGTTTTTAAGGCTTATGCTGTAACTCTTGAACCAGTTGTCCCCTTCCAGTTTAATTCAGTAGAGGAAGCCAAGGTTTTAAACGTGTTTAGGTTGTCCATTTTCATTAAACTGGGTAAAGAGGAGAAATTCTGGTTAGTGTCTCTGACGAAGTATGTGTTAGTGTGAGATCAACACTTAGCTACTGTATTTCGCTTTCAGCAGCTGATCAGCGTGTGTGTCCTGACCTGGGAGTTAGAGCTGTAGCAGTGCAACCAGTGTTGTCCTGTCCAGCTGGCAGTTAGAAATCATGGGAAGAGGCTTGCAGTTTGGATAAGCGCGGGGTGCAGGACCTGGAGAGAACCCGAGGTGTTGGTTGTGAGGTGACATGAGAACCTAAGGGTTGGGGAAGAAGGTGCTGGGTTACTGACTGGGGGAGAAGGGAAGGAACAAAGGTAGAAGTCCATAGAAGAAACTAGTTTTTTTGCCATCTGTGCGAAAACATAATTTTATGAGTAGTGGAATTAATGAATTGTAAACATGAGGAACCAGGTAATATTTTTAAAATTCTGGATTTTGAAGCAGATGTTGTCTCTTGCATATGATTTAAGAATTTCCCTAACTCCTAGAAAATGTACTGGGAGGATTCTTAAATGTGGAGCTTTAAGTGTGTGCTTAGTAATCTGGACACGAGAGAAGAGCTGTGGCTTTTGTGGGTCTGCATTGTAGAAACAAAGGTACTTCTTACAAACCAGAATGATTGTAAGGTTTGAAAATGTGTCAGCGTTGTTAGGAGGTTGCTTAATGTAAGAGTTTGACAGTGTTCGGGGCTCAATAATTTTATCACAATTACTAAAATTGGAACTTGAGAAGGATCAAATATCAGGTAAAAGGACTTTTGTATTAGCTTTTTATTGTGATACAACGTAAAGGAGTGCAGAGTCTTTCCTAAAACTTCCTGTCACATAAGGAACCAGGGCAAAATTGAGCATTACAGTGGTGCAGTCCAGTTTTTAATCTGACTTGCTCCGGTGTAAATATAGCTAGTGGGAAATTTTGGAATTAAGAGAATATAGAAAAGAGAGTATGATCATTCATTTGCATTTAAGGCATTTTATACCGTAACAACTGAACACCTTGTAAATGATGAGTTCTGGATTGTTAGATTGCTGATTTGATAAAAAATAGCTTCCTGAGAATTTTGTTTATGTTCTTGGTATTGGTCAAACTAATTTCTCTTAAGAAACTTAATCTGTCATAATCTCTTTAAATTGAAACTCTCTATTTGTTGAAATTTTCCTTACATTGAAGAGGAAATGTGCCCTAAACAGTTTGCAATCCCTGCTCTAATCAGTAAAATAAGCTAACACCCATTACGTATTTTTTCCTAATACAATATAAAGCAATAGAGGGGCAGAATACTTTAAAGCAAGGTGTAAAGCAGGGTGATAGTCTCTGTTTGTATAAACATCACAAAACTTCATGATCAGTGTCTCTTCTCTTATCAGGGTGCTGTTACCTAAAGTACAAGTGTTAAAAGAGGATGAGGCCAGGGAAGAAGTCCAAAGAAATCACTCTTCCTGGTAATTTTATGCTCTATAGCAACCAGCAATAAGAGTGTGAGCTAACATACCCATAAACATAGTGCATGGTATCACAACGTGACTTTCGAAAGCTTGTTAAGGGTGATCTTTAGATTTTCATTATTTTACTTTTTAGATTATTTTACTAACTCAGATAATATAAATTGTAGTCATTTGCATCAATTTCTAAAGCTTTGTCGTTGCATGACCCTTTCTGAGATTAAAAATTAGGGCTTTAGGCATGCTTTAACTACTGCTGTACAGTCTCGATAACCAGTCTTACTTTCCTTCCTGCAGCCGAGCAAAAGATGTAACCATGCCAGCGAAGCTTCCAGTGAACTTTTTCTCCACAAGATCTCCAGTCATTGATCTTTTTCGGGGACAATTAGACTATGCAGATCACCTTCGTCAGGATTCAGAAATTGTGCTGTATTTCTTCTATGCGCCGTGGTGTGGCCAGTCCATTGCAGCAAGAGAAGAAATAGAATATGTGGCCAGCAGACTGTCAGACCAGGTAACTCCAGAGAAGATATGAATCTTAAACACGGCTTGATAGCTCTTTAGTCTTCGAGCCAATGCCAATTTTTGTCACCCCATGGGAACCGGTAGGACTTGAATGCTCACATTTTAGTGTAACTCTGCCAGTCATCTTAATTTTGATTTAATGTACAGAGTGTTAGAATAAACTGAGAAAACCTGTGATTCCTGTGCAGTTGTCTGTTATTTCTGTTCGTGAATGGGGAACTCTGCAAGTTTCTTCTTGTAACGAGTTTCCAGATATATTCACCTGCCTTCAGACAGAGATTGCAGGGAGTTCGCTTCCGGTTCCAGGACCGTTGGAGACACTGGTAATAACCTAAGATTGCAGCCATAGCACTGCTTTCTAGCAGTTGGTTAGCTGTGAACTCTTCACAGGTACAGGTGTCCTAAACCTCTGCTCGTTGAGCTCCGCTCTGCAGAAAAAGTAATTAATACGGATTATGACAAGTAAATAAATCAGAAGGATTTAGATTAAGAAGCTTAAAAAAACTAGAAAAAAATTGACAGAAGGTATTGCTGTTGCAAAATGATAAAAGAAAAAAATCTTGTATGATAGAATTGAGAGAAACAGATATGGAATACTGAGTTGAAAAGATACTGAAAATACCGGATGGAGTGTGTTGGACAAAATGCGTATTAGATAAAGGAGGTCACAGTAATGTACTTTGTTAGCTGCAAATTTTTACCTGTTGTGCAGGTGCTGTTTGTGGCTGTAAATTGCTGGTGGAACCAGGGAAAATGCAGGAAGCAGAAGCATTTCTTTTATTTTCCTGTGATACACTTATACCATCGGAGGTAAGATTTCATACGTACAGTCTGGCTTTTTTATTGTTATTTTGGGAAACAGAGATGTTGTATAAAATGTTGCATTTTGAAAATACTACATTTATGGCTATAGCAGACAGTTGTAGAGGAGGAGATTCTGCGTGAAGCTCATCCTGTATGCTACTTAGGTGTCAAGAAGGGCTGTAAATGTCAGTTAAATGACATGCTGCACAATTCTTCAGCCTTAATGAAATTTTCTGTTGCCTGTGCATCTCCTGGAAATTCTGTGTCCAATGAGAAGTAGAGGATTCAGATTTATATATTAATTTCAATTGTCTGTTTGCTCCGTGGATGGATTATAGCAACTGGTCCCAATTTGTGACAGCAATAAAGTAGGTACTTAAGGGCTATTGAAGTTAGTGGAATTTAAGTGCATATTTAAATGGCAGTATGTACTGAAGACTTTCTTCTGAATTTGAGCTTTACACTCACTTTTCTGTTCTCCTAATGTTGAGAAATCACTGTATGAAATTACATACAATCTCACTTTTATTTTTTAGTATTTGTATGCATTATCCTTTTTTTTTTTTTTCCCACTCTGTGTGTGGAGCAGAAGGTAAGGAAACACAGTCTCTAATGCAAGGTACGATAGAGCTGGATGCATTTCATCACTTGCATTTTACTTGTGTACTCTAGTCTTGAACTGCAGCTCTCTTCCATTACAGAGGCTGATTGAGGTTTTTAGGGGTGATGCACGTATTGAGGAGGAACAATCCTGATCTTTGTCAGATGAACTTGGAATAGACACAGATGGCACTGGCATAATTCAGACTGTGATAACAATCCCACTTGGATGTACATTGACTTAAACTTACTTGATCTTGAAATTACAACACAATAGCCTTCTAAACACTTGGGTATTGTCAGTAACCTTAAACAGAGTTGCAACAAGATGAGACGTACATTCATATTGATGCTTCATAAAAACCCCAAAGGGCAGTGCACCCCTCATGCCTGAGATATTAAACCTCAAGTGTTGTGTTCTAGGCATGTGACATGTTGAAGCAGTGCATGTGGCTGTTAAGACAAAGGTTGGTAATAAACTAGTGTGGGATGTAGAATAATCTAGTGGGCTCTAGAAGACCATTTCAAAGCATCTGAATACAGGTATCTCAGTGCGAGTTTGATATTTTTCAGAGTGTCAGTGCATCACATGAAATTCTTCAGTGGGAATGAACTAATTCCTCATGCTTTTTGTGTTTGATTTCATTTTGGACAGTGATGCTTTTCCAACCTAATGATAATAAACCAGATGCAGGATTTCAAGGGGATGAAGGAGAAGCTCTAGAAATCGTAGCCACAAGGCCCAACCCGCCTTCTGTTTTAGCAGCTCCTAAGGTGGCGTGAGCTGTTTTATGAGATGGCTGCTGGAGAAACTGTAGACTTGCTGAGTCTGTTCAGCAGCAGCATGAATGGATTCATCCTGCTTTATTGAGTGCTACTTGTAAAAGTCTATGTAAAAGTACTGCAGTTTTCAGATTGGTACTGTTAGAACTTTCTAAAGATTTTAAAAAATCAAGTGAAAGTAGTGACACTTTTCAGATCTGTATTTTTAAATTACATGTATTTGCTTCAGACAAAGCAGGAAGATATATATATATGATCATATAATTCATACCTGCATTGTACCAACTTCTTTGACGGGACTCAGAGGTGATCTCCATCCCTTCGTCCCCACCAACACACTGCACCTATCCATAGGCACTGCATTAGGCACTGCAGTTTCTGTGCTCTACTTCAAGTCTGGTAACACAACTCCTCTGTCAGTTACGGAAGCCACTGTTAATTAACATGAAGAGCAATTCCCTAGAGGCTGAGCATGCTGTCAATGTAACTCCTATCTCTGCCACCCCCAGGAGAGACTCCCTCTATTGTTAATTTAAGTCTTAATGTTTTATTATTTTTTTTGGTACTAGTTTTGGACCAATTGAATACAAAGGCCCTATGAGTGCTGTTTATATTGAAAAGTTTGTTCGTCGGGTGATGACACCACTACTCTACATCTCGTCTCGATCAAAATTACTAGATTTCCTCTCAAATTTTGAGGTACTTGTCTCTCTTCTCTAGCTTTACCACTGTGGTTCAGAAAGGGTTTGACTTGTTTCACAATTAAATTTCATCTGCTCCAAAGTACTAGTTTATTTCCAGGATCCTGAAATCAGTGCCCTGTAAATTTGTTAAAATTATAAAAATATGAAATGACAAATTCATAATGTTGGTTCCCTGTATAGTGACTCATGATTTAGTGATGCTCTTAATTTACAGTACTTCAATATGTAGAAACAAGAATCAAAGTTGTTACCTCACCAAAAATTTGCTTATGAACAGGAAAGAAGGGAGAAATCTTTTTGCAAAAATCTTGCAGTCTAAGTTGGGAAAGCATTTGAGAAATATATAATAATTGCTTTAATTTTTAAAGAAATAGTCTGTTAAGTAAAAACAAATGTGGAATCAGTTGAAATAATGGCTCCTAACCACTTTGTATGCTCTAACTTCATGATTTTAATCCACTGGTATATTGTGTTTTATTAATTTTCGGTCTGTTGCATTCAGAGGTGCCAAGATTGGTAGCAATAGTGGTGGATTAATAACTTCCAATTAGACAAAGTGCGCTTAAAACAGAACCATTTGTAATCACTTTATAACTGTTCATTTCTGTAGTGCACAGTGAAGAAATACCGTAATCTTACTAAACCCCAAGCTGTTAGAGCAGAATGGAAAACCTGATCAACAAATTGGTGCTATAGTAGTGGCCAAAACAAGCGAGGGGCTTCCCAGTGTTTCAGAAGGAAGCAGAGTTCCTCTTTGAATTGTCGTGTGTTCCAACGACTGGGTCTGCTGCAGGAGGGAGCATGACCTGTGCTGTGGAGTGGAAGCTGCCACAGCTAACAGCATGACACTAGTAGTTACCACGGGTAGGTGCTGTGCTGCTCACGCTGCTGTTTGTCCCTCAGGAGCTATTCATGGGTTTAGGTTTTGAGTGTTTTAAGTGGGGACTGTGAGTCAGGAGTAGTGAGCTGTGTATCTGTCTCTGATCTGATACTTTCTGTGATCACAAGCAATTCTGTTGTCCTTTCACTGCTTCAGTTTTGGCACTCTAAAACTCCATTATTTTTTTGGCTCTTACAGAGATTTGGCCATGCTTGGGTTTTGGTCTGTTATGTGACTTATTTCTTGGTAGTCTGCAAAAGGTGACTAATAAGCATAGTGTCATCAGTGTCATTAAGCTTAAATTTGCTTTACAGTAGGAGGTGCACTTCCATTGGAAAAAGATGTGAGATAAAAGACAAATTTATGGGGGAACGAGAAAATATTTTTTTAAATACTGCTTGGCAATTGAACAGATAGTTTTATTTCTATGTTCAAACTTCCCCCTCCCCCCCCCCCTTCCTGTGCTTCACATTCTTTGGCTCCAAATGCCCAGTCTCTGTTCGTGTTCAGTGTTTGTTGGTTCTTTTTTTCTGAAATGGACTAAGAATGGAATCTGATCTGTCATACTGCTCCACAGTCATTTGAGGCTGAGGTTATTTCCCAGACTATGGCGTTAGGTGCTCAGTGTCCTGCCTCTGTAAAATTAAGCAAGAAGGGGAGAAGGTCATGCAAAAATAACAGCCGGCTCATGCAGTAAGATCCATTCAGGGAACAGGGTGTTGGCTAGTGCAAGTCCAGGTGACTGCACTAAGAAAAACAAATGCTGAGTGATCAGAAGCTGGGATACAGAGAAGACCTAAGAAAGAGAATTTTATGTGAAGATGGATGGAGAGGCAAACATAGTCAGGCACAAAGGAAAAGTTAGTTTTAAACCAGAAATAAACACAGTGATTCATCATTTAAACCAGTTAGGAATGTGAACATTTCTAATGCTTTCCACGCAAGTTGAGGAACTTTATATATTTTGTAGAAGATACGATTCAGGAGGTGACTCCTGTGTTTAAGAAATGAGAAAATTTGAGGAGCAGAGTAGGTTACAGGAAGTGCATGTATGGCACAAACTAGTTGCTATTTTGAGAGTGTTGGTTAGTGTCTTCTTTTTGTTTTTGTTCTTTTATATATTAAAAATGTAAATTTTTAGAAGGAAAAAAAGAAAATACTATAAAGGACAGATCATTGCGCATTTTGCCCACTGTCTACTGCTTGACCAGGTTTTTGGGATTTCTTCATTGAAAAGCTAATTGATTTGAAGCTCAGAATATTTTCTGAAAGTTTTGCCATTATCAGTATCTAGTTTTCAGTCCTGTGTTCTGCTAGGGAATGGGTTCTGCAAGCTTATGTTAGGGGTATTTACTTTTGACTTTAACATTTCAGTTGAAAAGAACCTCTTTGTAGCTGATCCCCAGAGTGCACTTAGGCAGTGCCCATTCTGTTCCTTGGCTGGTTCATTCTACTTTGGTGTTAAGATCTCCTATACTAAGGAAGCAGTAGGTGGCAGAGCAGTTGGTTGTCACTCATTGTTTTGTTTCTCTATTCAAGGATACCACTATGTATCGCCTGGAGTATGCAATAGGTTGGTCAGTTATTAGTCAGTCATTCCTTTGCAGGGTGTCCTGTCAAGCTGAAGTTCTGCTCAGCATGTGTTTTTACACTTCAAAGAGCTATTGTACCCTTCATTTCTTGTTTCAAGGGCATTTTATTGTTGCCTGTCAATTTGCTAACAGCCAGGACTTCAGGCCCATAGCTGTCTTTTTCCATCTAATCTGTGACTCTTTTGAGTGTCTGCTTTCATGATGCTTTAATTTTGTGTTCAAATTCCAGTAGCCAGCTTTTGACAGAAAAAAGCATGCAGCAAAGAAAACCAAGAGCTATACCCACACTCAATTGAATATCGATATCCATTAAACGTGCTAACAAGCCTGAGCTAATGAGTGCTGTAGAGGTACCAAGATAAATGCTCAAAGCATTTTTTTGTAAGTTCAACTGCACCAAGAGATACTGAAATCTATCAGTATTTTATCTTGTATTCAAATGTGAATTTGCATGTTTTTATTCTAATAAATAGTGATGAACAGAATCCAGCTAAATGTAAGAGTAATTGTTAGTTACATGGTGGGTATGTCCATTCCTCAGCCAAATCCTGACTATCGTGAGATGCTGTATTGATCTCACAAGAGGGCGCACAAACCCCGTGAAAAAAATCCTGGTTCAAGTCACGAAAGTCTGCATTCTCTGATACTATTTAAGGTGGTTTTTTTTCGAGGTTGTGGAATGATACAAGTGCAAAACTAGAACTGAATAAGAATACGAATTTAATTTTTGAGAGCAAGGAAAAAAATCCTGTTTGGAAAGCAGTTAAAATCTTGAAATGTGTAGGAAGATCTAAGTTTCATCAGGAGAAAGATACACAGTTCCTACTATAACTCCAGGTACCTATAATTGGACTTCTTTTGTTTTCCTAACTGCAGAGATGTAGTAGTTTCATTTTAATCCAAGCTGGCCTGTCTCAGTTTTCAGCTGACTAACCCGTCTACTAGAAATGGCCTCATCCTCCTGAGGCATGGAGGAAGAAAATGTTCAGCATCTGTAGTTAGACAAAAAGCTTCATTCAGTTACGAAAATTAGGTGTGCCCAGGGAGCTCATAATTTTCTGGGTTTGGGAGAGGTGGAGGAGGAGTTGGTCTCTCTGGGAGGTAGTTGGCATGTGTCTTAGCTTGGTGTCAGCTTTCTTCTTTGCTCTATTTGTGTAGAAATGCTTCCTGATCATTAACCAGCTGTGTAGGGTCTGACCCAGAAGGGGATTTGACTTAATAGCTTGCTCTTGTGTGGGGTACTGTCGTGCCTGTGTAAAATGATGATGTAAGAATTTGCTTTCAGTTCTGGATACACAACGTTTTTAACATCATTAGAAAATGAACAGACTTTTACATGTAAATTTAGTGCAGTATCAATCAACAGTGTCTTTGCATTTCTACAGTATAGAATTAGTGGAGTGTAGTATTGGTTATTCTCTTTTCCAAAGATCACACATTGCTTTCCTCTTGCTGTTTTCTTTCCTATGTTCACAGATAAAATGAGGCAGGAATTGCCTGCCTGCACAATTCTGAGATTCTGGGGGAAAAAAAAAAAGATCTCCTTTGCCTCAATGCAATATAGGCAAAACATAAAAATAAATACATACAAATTGGGGTAGAAATAACTTAATTGAGTTGTAAAAGCATTTATCTAATTGTAAAACCTAATCAGTAGCTGAGTTGGTTTTTTTCCCGTTTTCTATTCCCATTACTTTGCATTTATTGGCCTTTAAATTTCAAAGCTTTCGTCTCATAGTCATTTAATACTGTCTTTCTGCAACTCTTCTGAGTTGGCTATAGTTTCAATGATTCCCAGTAACCTTTGCAAATTTTGTTCCTCACCCTTCTCTCCCTTTTCTAAAGCGTTTATAGAAATCTTGAACTATGTGAGCGTCAGTACACATCCTGACTGGCTGTCTTTGACTGTGGAAAAACAGTAACTTCTATCTGTAGTTTTCTGTCTTTTATACTAATCTGGAAGAGTACCTTCTGTGTTATTCCTTATCACCTTAATTTCTTACAGTGTGTTTGGTAGCTTCTTGTAGACTTTTGGGGAATTACAGTATGCTGCATTGAGTGGATCAGTCATCTACATGCTTGCTCATTCCTTCCAAGAACTGTGATAGAATTGAGGCATGGTTCGGTAGTAAAACCGTGCTGGCTGTTCTCCAGTAAAAATCACTCACCTGAAGATCTCTGTTAGTTCTTACAGTTTCTATGAATTTATTGTTCTGTAATTGTTGAAATTCTTGTCAAGTCTGTTACTTGTTTGTTTTAATTGGCATCACACATTGCCTTCCATTCTTCTAGTATAGACACCAAGCAAGAAATAGGCTACACTGCAACTAGTGATTTTGTACTTCTGTATGAGTTTCATTAGGAGGGTACTAATGACTCTCCAGTATTGACATCCTCAGGTTTGTTCCAAAATCTTTCCTACAGACACTTGGTTTGAGACAGGTGATGAAAATAGTTTCATGGAAAGAAAAACTCCAATAAGCTCCACTCTAGCAACACCAGCACTCCTAATGCGATGTCTTTAAACTATCCCTATGTCCCATTTTAACATTTTTATTCTCCAGCAAGTTGTATCCTGTGCAACTGATTGTTCCTAACTGCCTGCATGTAGGTAGTTAACTACAGATGGTTGCCTGGAAGTAGCTGATCATCAATAACAGCTTGTATGTAGATGCCCACATAAAGTGTATGCAGGAGCTGTCGCTACAGCAGTTATTGATTGTTTTGGAGGTTCTTGCGTGAAAGGAAGTGGGAGTTGCTGCTGTCAAGTTCCTCTCGGCATACTTGTATTCAAAACTAGGAACCTCGTATTTACATTGAGATGTTGCTTCTGTAACACTTGAATCTCACCTGTATGGAGCAAGATTCCTTGTTAGTTGCTAGCACCTGGAAGTGTTCAGTTTTGTTAAAATGAACAGAGTAGTTGGTATTAGCAAGTGAATTCTTCATTCTGAGAAGAACAGGAAAATTTGCATGGTACTTGAGAAGAAATACTGCATTTTAGACGCTTTCCTCATGTGTATCATTGCAGCCTGGAACAGGGAGCAAATTTTAACTATTCTGGGATGATCATTAAAAGGACATTAATTAACCAGATTACTGATGAGGCATAGAGCACTAGTATATATTCTCCCACTACAATTTTTTCTTATTGAAAAGACGTGTTCCATAAATGTCTTATGGTCACATCTTATTCTTCACAATCTGGAAGTCCTAAGCTGCTGTTAGCGTACAACAGAACTGGCAGTCAGAGTCAGAACATCACCTTTTTTAATAACTTTATAAGTTTTTCCAGATCTGACTTTTGGCTTCTTGTCACATTTTACTGTCACTTTTGACACTTCTTTCATTTGCTATTTGGTGCCGTAAGTTTGCTTTGTAACAGTAATGGTATTTAAAAATAGTCCTAGGAAATGGGAAACTAAAATTTGGACATCTCACCTGTCTCTTTATTTTGGTTCGCTTGAATGCTTTAGAAGTTTTTTTTTTTGTAAGGGATTGTTTCTTTTTACTGTCGTAATTTGGTACTAGGAGAGAAAGATGAACACTAATTACTAACCTGCTTATTGTTTAAAAAAACAAGGAGTGCTATTATTTTGCTGTGTTTTCACTTTTATTTATATTTTTATTCTTGACAATTGTTATTGCAGAAATTTCACTAATTGCTTGTATCTCATTTTTATTATTGATTATTTTCTTGGGGTACCTCATAAGGAATTTTTATGAACACGGGTCTTGTGTTTAGCATTCATTCATGAAAGTTAATTCCTGCCTAAAAAGAGAGGTTGTAGTTGGAATTAGCAATGTTGGTGAACAACCTGAGATCACTAATTCATACTGACACTAATGACAGTTACAGGTAAAATATACATTCATATTTTAAAAAGAAATTTAAAATTCTATATATAAAGCTCAACAGAAAAACAAAGCAGCCTCTGAAATACCAAGTGAAAATACTTATGTGGGTATCTATTTGCCACACAAATGGCTGATCTGGAAACTTTTGTTCCACAGCAATCCCAAGAGTGCTCTTGCTTTGTGTATCAAGTGCTCTTTCTGTATGCGCTGCTGGAACTGGGAAACAAATACCCAAATTCCATTAGTTACTCTGTCCTGAAAGTTTGTGCAACCTATTTGAGTGGTGCAGTAAAAAGCATAATTAATAATAAGTTTTAGTGGGTTATCTTTTGCAAAATTTAAAAGCAAAACTTAATTGAAGTTTTGGAACAGGAGAAGTCTAGATACTATGCACCTCTTTGTTCCGAATCAGCTTCTCACAGATTCTCCTGTGAATTTAATTTGAAGCCATTCAGGCTTCGTACGTGGCAAAGTCAATAGGCCTATATAGGGATGAGTCTTCTAAATTTTGAATTGTCTGTTTGGCAATTTGAAGAACTTTGTGGGTATGCAGGTGGGATATGGGGCTCTGTCATTATTTTTGTGCAGCTGGTCTCTCACTGACTAGTGCAGGATATACTGAAAGAATTTACAATGACTGATAGCTTAATGATGGGATGATAAGTTGGCTTAGCAGTTCAAGTATCCACATACAAAATGTGTGAATTCATATGTAGTTGCTAATTATGTGCAACATAGTGAACAATTAAAGTGTTACTGTTTTAAGTTGTTTATATTCTGAAAAATCACATTTGATATTTCACTTCTAAAAGAAGTCTTTATGATGCTTGTGGCCCTTATGTTGGTGGTGGAACTGACTCATAAAATAGTTGCAAAGCAAATATTAATTGGTTTTAGTGACTATTAATAGCTAACATGGGAAATAAGTGGTTTTAAACTTACACATCTACAGCTATGAAAACCCTTCCTCATACATAGCTTTTCAATGATAACTTTAGAACTGATTTCCATTCAATCTTTTAATATTAAATTTTTTCTTGCAGCATAAAGTGACTGTTCGTCAGTAAACATTGTCTTTTTAAAATCTCTTGTGTTTACTGTAGGCAAATGATTGCTGTGCCCCATATATGTGTACTTGAAAATAGCTTAACTAACTCTATTTCTTATTTCAGCCTGGAGTTCTAGGATATTTTGAGTTCAATGCTTCACCTCAACCACCTGGTTATTTAACATTCTTCACGTCAGCATTACATTCATTAAAGAAAGGTAAAATCTTAATTTTCATAATTTAAGGCATCTGTGAATGAGTTACGTGTATGGGCTTCAGTAGTTTTTTGAAATATTTTGTAACTTCGGAATGAATCCATTTTGAGTGCTTCTTAATGTTGATCTAATTAGGAGACTGTCTTTTACTACAATGCAAGGATTGCTTACATGAAAGGCTTATTACGTGATCAGCCATCATGGAATAAAGTATATGACAGGCTGCTATTCAAGGATACGTTAAGATATAGTTTCCTCAAAGATCTAAATGTGTAGCTGCAGCCCATATAGAGCTAAAATCAGACTAGCACTTACTTAAGTTAAATCCAAGAGTGTTTGTCATATGCAACATTTGAAATGTCAGGTTCAGAGGCATTAGGATGAACTTGACTTTGTCAGTACTTTGTAACTGAATTCAACAAAGTGCTTTCTTGGATGGAGTTTACAGAGTTGGTACAAGGTATCATGATGAGAAGGGCTTTCTCCCCCTGTTATTTTGCATTAATAATCAAAATACAAGACGACTTGTGTTTAAATATGCAAATTTTTTATATGATTAAAACTTTTTTTGGGGGGTGTCATAGATTCTGGATAGAACTTAAAGTTAGGATTAGCACATTTTTGAGATCTTTTTCTGTCAGCAAATGACGAAAATCGATACCATTATTCTGGTTTTTACTGTGCCACTGACATGGTATACGGTACAGAGCCTGTTCTCCTATATTTTGTTCTGTAATTTCCCCATTTATATGTTGGGATAGTTCTTTGCGACATAAAGATGAGAAGCATTCTATCCTTGTGTGTACATATTTATGAATATAGAAAACTATAATATGTATTTAAATAATATATATTTACTGTAAATGTACATCATCTAAACAGCCCATGTTCATACCTTTTCCTTACATGTATATCTCATCTTGGCTTTTGAGATGCCGTGACACATAGCAAGCTGCATCTATGATTTTATATTTAATAAGCAAATCAAGAATTTGGACAATATGTTATCATTCTCTGTACCTTGAGTGCAGAAGAGGAACACGTTTGTTCTTGTTGCCTGCTCTTGTCATCGTTTTTCTGCCTCACTTAATCAGCAATATTGGCAGTTACTATTCAGTAAGATTTCTGTGCCTTTACACAGCAATTTCATTGTTTTGGTTTGAAGGTGTTCTGAGGCTTTCAGGAGAAGTTCAGTGCGTATAATTGTATTTAAAACCTGAAAATTTGCTCTTCCAGACTACCTTGGAACAGTACGCTTTGGAGTGATCACGGATAAACGTGTTGCAGAGGAGATCTCCTTGGTGCATTCAGGCAGTGTGTATTTGCATAGGCATGTCAACACATCTCTGGTGAGTATTTGATTTATGTTGTAGTGACTGAGGCAGTGCATGGAGACCAAAGCTCTGTCATAGTAGACCATGAATAAGCATTCCACAGAGCTTTAGGATACAGGATGTTTAAGAATGATATTTTTGTACAGTAATACATATTTTCATTCTACCAGTCAGTAGCTACTCTAAACAGTAACCCAGGACCCAAGCTGATCGTCTCTATCAAAACAAACCCCAAAAAACCCCAAGTACCTCAGAAATGACTACAGAAAGACTTTTCCCTAAAGTTTCTACCTGTTTCAGTCAGTCAGAAGGCTACTTGAATGAGGATATGGACAAAGATTTTGTGGGGAGATAGTAGGAATAGTGGAAACTGGCATTTCGATTTAAAGGTATGACGTTACACTGATTAGAAAAATCATGCAAATTAATTTGAAAATTTGTGGTAGCTTTTAATCCATGTGCCTCATTTTTGGAAGACTAAGACTGACAACACTAATTTTCAGATTTGCTATTTGTCATAGAGACCTTATCTATCCACACTGCTACCATGAGTAGAAACTCTGTGAAAATAAGTATTGTAACATGTATTTTAATCAATTGAGATGAGGGAAAACATGGATTTTTCAGGTTAAATTACTGGTAAATACATAAAACTACTATTGTCTGTGCAAATTATTTAAGATAAACTTGCCTTAATTTATTAAAATGACCTTAGAAGCTGTGAGTGCTTTTTATTATGCATTCCTTTTCCCCACATTCAGTAATAAGAAATACTAGTTTCAAATGCAGTCTTGATGTTGGGATCTTAAAAGACTAATTTAAAATGAGTTAATATGGTGAATGATTAGTGGGAACAAGTTTTCTAATATGCCATAAATCAAGATATGTGATGATACCAACTTAAAGACTAAGCTCTTTCACTTATAAAGAAATTTTATACCAGTGAGAAAAGTAAAGATTGTAAAGATGCAGTAAAAGAAAGAGGAGCTTCTTTGGTAGAATACATTTTGCCTGCAAAATTGTGTGTGTTTCTGTGATCTGATGAGCATTCAGAAAGATTTCCCAAAGGGAAAGGGTATATGAAAAGCTGAAGCCCGCTGAATAGTGTCATTAAATTTAGAAGAAGACTTTTAGGCATTACAGTAACAAAGCATGCCATATTTGAGAACTGCATTCGTTACTAAACCAAGTGAGGACAAATAATTATTTTTTGCCCCTTCAAGATCTATCCAAATGACATCATGAACTATACTGCTGAGAACATTTGCAAGTGGGCTCTAGAAAATCGAGAGATGCTTATACGCTGGCTGAGACCACATGGTGGAAAAAGCCTTCTTCTAAACAATGAGCTGAAGAAAGGACCAGCGCTTCTCATATTTATACCTTACAATCCTTTAGCAGAAATTCATCCTCTTTTAGATGAAGTAAGTGAAATAATTTTTTTTTTTTTTTTACTTCAAAAATACTAGAACTTGAGAACTCTAGTCAGCCTAATTGTGATAGGTGTCTCATTTTATTTCACTGTTCCAAGTATTCAGTTTTGTTCAAAACCACTTTTTCTCAAGCCGTGTTATCACAACTCTCTTATGTTGGTTTGCATCCAACACCACATGTCCTTGTCTCATGTCAACAGTTGTTTAGAACAAGCACTTAACTCTTTTCCTTGACTTCCTTCTTTTTGTGGTGAGTGCTGTGTGGGAGATGCAGATCTCTGGTCTTCTGTTCCAGCTGACATAGCCCAAACGAAAGAGGAAGAATGTATTGCGTTTTGTCCACCCCATTTTGTTTCTCCTCTTCTTCCATCTTTCCAGCGGTGGTTACACAAGGAAAATTTGACCTTTTTTTAAACCACATAGTGTTATTTGAAATACAGCCCAATTGAAAAACTACTCAGAACTAAGCTGATTTTTATATCCTGTAATCTGCCATTATTTCTGTCTCTGAACTGCCTAGGACAGGAGTTTGTGTAGCTGTGCAGTAAATGAGATAGTGAAATTAACTTGGCTGAAAAATAATTTTTTTCGCTGGGCTATTTTTCAGCTGGAACCTGTTGTCCTGTTTAGTCTATCACACAGCTGCACATCACAGTGGTGATCCCAGAACAGTAAGGACAGTGTGGAAGATGAAAAGCAGGGCTCAGTTTTGGTGGCAGTGCTGACTTACATGCACAGTATTCCATTAATATTCCAGTTGATCTTGTATAGCTTCAGTTTGGTAGATGGATATTATGCAACTTGTTTACCTTGGGAAGAGATGTTTACTGCAGTTGTCCTATGGGTTTTGTCAAGCAATGAAACCACTTGATTGTAGGGTAGTTGCAGAGGACAAGGCTGTCAAGTTGTTGAAAGCTCTGAGAGCAAAAATTTTTTACTGATAGTAAATCACTGACATGAGATTTCTTATTGCAAATCTGATTTTTCTGTTGATTATTTCTTCTCATGTTTCTCTATGTAGGTAGTCAAAATCTTTGGGCTAGATTATATTGTGAGTAGTCAAGTTTCTTTTAAGTATTCAATTGAGTATTTTCAGGATGAAAACATCTACCAATGAATTCTTAAAGACTGTAATGAACTGTTACTGTAGACCACATCTTAATACTATTGGTCCTGTGACACTGCACCCCTCCTAGATGTCATGCTTCGACATCCCTTTGATAATCATAATGATTCGTATCAAAGTGTTCTTGTGTAAGCAATGTGTTTATGTTCTATGTTTTGATTATGTTTAATGTGATAAATGAGGATGAAGGGAAACTTCCTTTTTCATTTTCCTCTCTTGTATGTTCTGTTTTTAATGTCCTAGAACAGGAATTCCTTCTGTGGTCCATACACATGCCTTTTTTGCTGCTTGTTTCCCCTTGGTTATGAAAAACAAAATGGTGGCGCAGGACAGGAATGTTTGCACTGAAAGGCAGGCTTTTTTCTTTTCTTCTCCCAATAAGTTGCTACATGTGTTACTATATGCAAAGTACACCTGCAGTATTCAGCTATATGCCTATGGCTGGGAGAATACTAACATTGCTTCAACACTGTTATTGATTGTTGCAAAATTTGTGCAGCATCTATACCAGGAAAAATCTTTATTCCCTTTTCATATGGGAATGCTTTTATATATTTTCTCCTCATATTGGAAGATAAGGGAAATTTGGGAGCCTGTACTGATTAATGCTTCATGTAGTGGGATTTAACCTTAAAATGTAGTATTATTGCACTGTGATAAATATGAAGCAAAGAGGACCTTGAGATCAGTGTAGTGGACTGAAAAAATCCTTAAGATGCTTGTTGTTATCTGAAAATTTAACTTTATTATAGAGTCTGAGCCTCCTGTAACTTTTTGTAAGAACGAAGGAGAAGAGTAGTCAACTTCATGTTTCTGAAATTCCATCTCTAATTGTGTATCTGTTATTAAACCTGCAAAGATTACTGCATTTGAGTGAACTATCTACAGTTAATCTTGCTTTTTTTTTCTTTTTCTTCTCTCTCCTCTGTAGATTACCAAAGTGGCCTTGGAATACTACAACTGTAATAGAAGCCAGGCAGCTGAGCCAGATCTTCGACACTTAGGAGACACTGATTCACCAGCTTTTGATTCCTCTGTACCAGATGCACATATGAAATTATCAGAAATGTTTTCAATAACCAAGTACCCATGCTGTAACACAGTGGTGCTACCGCAGTGGCATTCAATATCCAGAACTCACAATGTCTGTGAGCTTTGCATTAACCAGACGCTTGGTGTCAAACCAAATAAAGTCCATGTGCCACACTGTAACTTTTTAGAGATAGAAGCAGCTTTGGACTCTTTCTACCTCCAGGAACATACATTTTTTCAAGTTATATCAAATACCATAGAATGCAGCAATTTCTTAAGTTTCTACAGCCCCTTTAACTATTACACTGCATGTTGCAGGACAGTAAACAGGCATTTTTTAAGTTTCATTAGTTCTGAGAAGACCATCTTTCAGACCCCCAAAGTAGCATTTTCTTCCCATGGGAAGAAAGATAACACCCAACATTCTATTCCTCACATTGAGGATAGGAATTGTTTTATTCCTGACTTTCATATTAGTGGCACTAACATTACTGGTCTGAGCTGTAGGACCAACAAAACCTTGAATCTCTATCTACTGGATTCAAATCTTTTTTGGATATACGCAGAGAGACTAGGAGCATCAAGATCTACTCATCTTAAGGAATTTGCCGCCATTGTTGATCTGAAAGAAGAAGTGCACTATATCCTAGATCAAAATCAGTCACTTGTTGGACCTACCCTGGGTATGGTATCCACTGTACAAATGCTTGAAATAAGAAAATTAAATTTGTGAGTAAGCTTATGAATGGAAAACTTGATGCCATTTTGAAAAGTGAGACTGTAGTCAACACTGTGAATTGTAATTCATGCTATTCTAATTTATTTAGTAGTTAACCAAGCGATAGAATCATGTTCTATATGACGTAAGAACTGTTTCATATACCAAAAGTAATTTGCTTTAGAATAAGTGAACCTCAAAATGTGTGATTCTTGACTGCCTGAGGCATTGAAGGAATTAGTAAAATCTAAACTAATTTGCCTGTGGAAAAAAACCCAACAACTGTGCATCTAACACATTTGCTATTACAGAAGACATTTGTCTATTAACGGTGGTGTTGGTGTTTGCTCAGCTGTTCTGAGTACCAAAATATCCCACAATTTCACTGCGCACTTACCAGTGGAGACTGGCCCTTCTTCTTGTCCTTTGAAACCAACTTATAAAGAGTTCTAAATTATTTTGAAAAATATGTGCGCTTTCAAGGTAGAGCTCTGAAGTGGTTTTGGCCAAATCTGTCAATGCTCTTTCCTGACTGAATTGGAGGAGAAAAAAGAAAACTCCAAGCCAAAAAATGAACCAACCCAACAATTGCAGTGCTGATTATTTGCATAAGACACCACATGCCTAACCATACGCATTTAGCTATCATGACCATGTGCAAAACTGAGTCCACCTTCAGGGTTTTTTAATGTTAGCAGTGTGAGTAAAAATTGAAGTAAATTCAGGTGAACTTAGTGTTAAAATAAATTGTTGAAGAAGGTATAACAGTATAGTTCTTATTGCATTAATTACGCTTCCATTTTGCCATCAGTCTGTAAGTGCTAAAATACGCACAACACCGACAAATATCCATGTTCTTATTAAGGATCCCATCCAGCCCTGTATCCTCTTTCCATCCCAACCCCCTAGAAAAACATTCTGGAAAAACAAATGAAAACCCCAGTGACGATAAAAGGATGCTTAGGAAAAGTTAAGATCGGAGTGAGGAGATATTTCTTTCCCCTTCTTCCTCCCAGCACTTTGTCTTAATTTTTTTTCAGGTCATAGGATATCCTGAGCATGATGTGGATTTCTCTGCTGACTAACACTCGGTGTATTTCTATTCCACGTCATTTGAACTTACAGGAAATTGTTGCTTCTGCATATTTTGTCAAGGAGTCACTGTGATTTATATTTGGCTTTTTTTTTTTTTTTAAATTTTATTTCCTTAAGCCTTTTAACTTTTGATATTTTAAAATAACAAAACAGATTTGTGTTTAATACCTTTAACAGATTTCAGTTTTTACAGATGGTTTCTGAAAATTCAGGAGTATATCTTTTAATTAGCCCCCTCCTTTCAGTTGTTACTTAGTCATGCATAGATACTCAACATCTGGAGATCTAGAAAGAAAAAAACCTGGTTTGGTCTGGTGTCAGAATTTAATGAAATTCTGCATAGTAAATATAAAATTAAATGTATAGTGCTGTTTGCATTTCAGAGAGAAACTTGATGATCTGGTATTTTGTATGTATGTACGTACGTAAGTGCCAGTTTTACTTGGGCCTGGTTTTTGGACTGGAAATACCAGCACAAGTTGTTTCTATTTGAACAAGTAATTATTTTAGTGTGTTTGACATTGTGTCTTTTGTCTTGCTTATTGAATACTCTTTATTTTCTAATGCAGAGAATAATATTTCTCTGCCTAAGTTGAAAAGAAGGATACAATCAATATCTTGCAGCAATTTAGAGAACATGGGCCATGCCCAGAGTAGTGTAGCTGAAGGTAGTTGAGGGCTTCGGAGCTTGTTTTAAATTTTTGCCAGTGGCCAGCTACTTGTTAAATATCATAAAACTAAGGAGAAAGTTAAATGAAGAGGAAGGTGGTCACTGGCAAACAAAAGGTAGCTGGTCATATTGGCATGGGAATGGCACAGTCTTTGAAGGTCTAAAGCAAAAGGAGAATTACAGGGAAAGTAATTAAAAATGAAAGAATAAATACAAATAAATGTGGAATTAAGTGGAGCCTTCGAAGTAAGGGCCAAATTCTTGAATACTATGTAGAGAGAGAAAAATGTTGAGAGGATACTATGTATGATTTACCAGGTGTGTGGTTAGATTAGGAGGTTAGAGAATTACTATAGTACATTGAATAGGAGTAGAAGCAAGATTAGAGAGGAGTGTGGTAAGTGAAGAAGACTATAATGAGCAAAAAAAACCAAACAGCAAAATTTTGTCTTGTTTTCACATCAGTGGTGGTTAATCAAGAGTTGATGCCAAACTGTCAAAAATTAATGAATGAAACCAGGTTTGAACTTGTATTTTCTCTATAAGTTCTTCTGAATTCCAAAGTAAAAACTGCCAAAATCACATATTTGTGAAACTGAAATAATTTTGTAATGTATCAATTTCATTTCAGAGGACTTCATAAAAAATTTCAGCGTTCTCTACAGTCCCTTGAAAAGGCATCTTGTTGATGACCCTTCAGTCCATTTTCATGAACAGCATGTAATCACTGAAGTGACTACTAACACCTTTCATGACACCGTGTTCTTGAGTGAAAAGGTACACCTTGTTACTGACAAAGTTTCTTGCAAATCGTTGCTCCGACTTTTGAGGGGGTCTCGTTCTTTTTTCACATTTATGTGCTTTGCTTATTTGTAACATAAAATATGTTGGTTTGTAACAATTCAAAGGTTTATTTTTTTTTAAAAAAAAAGGCAATTCGGAATAGTGTGGTCTTAAGTAAATATGCAAAAGGTCATCTTCTGGTGTTAAAATAATCAAAAAGTCAGTGCAACTGATTGCTTGACAGGTTTCTGCCACAGTGGCAGAATATTCTGATTTCTGTTTCACACCTCAAAGGAAATAAATATGCCACTACTTTTTTTTTCTATATATTACATTTTTAAAAAAACCTTATTTTAGTTTGTTAAAGAATTTTAAGCTCTTTTTAGACATAATGGAAAAAAAAATAGAAGGTTTTAAACCTAAGGCATTATTTGAAAGCACACAGCAAAAAAACCAAAACTCACAGGTAAAAGCTTTCCAATTGCATGAAATTGCTTTACATTAGATGTCGTCCTGAACAATAGTTAAATTGCTTCCTTTTCTTAAAGATGTGATAGTAAGGATTAGTATCCATTGTCTTTCAGGTCTGCAGTGAATGTATGCATCTCCAGTAATTGGTTTCCAGGAGCCCTAACTCCTGCTTTGCTAGTTAGAGGCAAAAACCAAAGTCTAATCATCTTCTCCCCCTGCCCCCATATGAAATATACAGTCACTGTTAGATAACATAGGAATTGTAAGATTACACAAGAATCTTGGGAAGTGTAGTAAAGTTTTGGTGCATTTTCACTTAAAGGAAATGATCTGAAACTAAATAATCTCTTCATTTTGTCTTTCTCTTTATGGGAAGAGAATTCCCCAAGAGTTTTTGTGTGTTAACTCAGTAGTCAGAGGGCATCAGTTAATCGTTTATTAATAAAGTTTATTAACATTAGAATATAGTTTCATTTCACATTTTAGGGGTTCCAAGTTCTAGATGTTGTGAAGAGTAGTCATCCCTTACTGCAGATTAACTACAATAGATAATCAAACTCTTCTCCATTTAATTTTCCAGAATGTCTTGCTGCTCTATTATGCACAGTGGTGTGGATTCTGTGCTTCTCTTAATCACATCTTTATTCAACTTGCTCGGCTTTTGCCTCCGGATCATTTCACTGTGGCCAGGTAAAAAAGATTCTAATTTCATCTCTCTAGAATAACGTAAGTTCATTGAGATCATCAGCCTAGAAAATAATTACTTTTTTTTTCTCTCTGCAGTCTTGCAATAGTAGATGTGAATGTTGTCTGCTTCATTTCGCTTTGAATGCATTATTTTGTTTTCCTCTGTATAAACTTGGTGGTTTTCAGTCTCACTGCAGTAGTTAGGCAGTTTAATTAAAATTAATTTTTAAGCTTCCTATAATAAAACAGCAGCAGAAAATAATTTTTACCCCTTTCTCTGATAATTTGTAGCAAATAATTTTATCCTGTAGTACTGTATTTGAGAAATTGTGTGAGTCAGGCAAAATACTTACTGTTGTGAGTTAACCCTGGTGGGCAGCTGAGCACAACACAGTGCTCGCAGACTGCCCCCCTCCATCCCCAGTGGGTCGGGGAAAGAGGAAAGGAAGAATAAAGCCAAGAAAACTTGGAGGTCAAGATGAAAGAAAGCAAAACAAAATTGTTTAATGATTGAAGGAGTAAGTGGAAGGAGAGAGAAGAAAGCAAAACAAGTGATGCAAAGGCAATCACTCACTGCTTCCCAGGGGCAGCCCAGTGCCTAGATGGTTCCCAAGTAAAAGATGGGTAACCCCCCTAAAACTCCCTCTTTTTTCCCTTTTATTGCTGAGCATGGCATTGTATGGTATGGAATAGCTCTTTGGTTCGATCGGGTCATCTGCCTGGTTGTGTCTCCACCCCCCAGTGTATCCACTGTCAGGGCAGAGGGAGAAGCAGAGGTGGCCTTGGTGCTGTGGAAGCGCTGTGCAGCAATAACCAAAGCGTTCCTGTGACCAGCACTAGTTTCATCACAGATCTAAAACATAGCACCATACAAGCTGCTGTGAAGAAGATTAACTCCATCCCAGCCCAAAAAAGTTTATAGATATATAGATATATGCATGTGTATAATGTATAAAAATATATATAAAAAATATCTGAAAAAAATTTATATATACACATAAAAAAATACATGTCTTTGTTTAGCATTTCCATGGTTTTTAATATTTCTGTGCAACCCAAACGTTCTTGTTCATGTGTTTAATAATACATCAATACTTACAACGTCTGCTCTGATTGCATCCTTGTTTCATTCTGACTGAACTTATTCCAGGAGGCATCATGAGATGTATAGGAAAAAAATTTGGTTAGAAATCTGGAGTTACCACCTGTTTATAGTTGTGCCTTTATTCCCACTGATGTAATGCTACTCTTGAATCTACAGCCGTTCTGCTTTCTGACTTTGAAGTTCTCTCATTTGCTGTATTATTTATATTGCAGTATTGCTGATGTGATCATCTGTGCTTTTGTCTATAATAAAATTGTTGTAATTAATAAGAATTTTATTTGTAATTGAAGAAAACCTAAAAATGCAGAGAAAACCATAGCAAGCAGTTGAACAAGTATTTCAGTCACAAAATCTCGTGTTCCTTTCTATGTAGAGCTTTAGAAAAAATTGTGCCTTTAAGAATGTGCTTGTCCTTGGAAGAAGCAAAGCAGTTTACTTCCAAAACTACTTGAGGGGAAGATATTTGTAGAGTTGTACTTGAGGAACAAATTAGTGAACAGAAGAAAACTTAAGTCATGTGTTGAAACCATTAGGCCGGACTGTTTGTTTCAGAGAAGGAAGGTGTGTATGTAATGAGCAACTGTGATTTAATTGCTGAGTGAAAGCAGTTGGAATACTGTACTTATTTTTCTAGCAAGAAAAAAAAACAACCCACAGATACTTGTTAAACTGAGATTCATCATCTTGAGTATTGGTAATTAATTCTGCTGACTCATACGCACAACCGATTTTTGAGTTTAGACTTACTTTCACAGGTATTTGCATTTCCTTCTTCCAGTCCCTAAAATGGAGTTTTACAAGACAATACAGATTATTCATCTGCCTGTTCTCTTCATCACTGTGTCTTTTCTTAACAGAATTGATATCACTCGAAATGACCTTCCATGGGAATTTATGACAGACCGTCTCCCAACCATTTTATTTTTTCCTCATCAGAGGTAATGTAATTCCTTTCCTGTGGGTTTTTAACTTGCACTTTACTAAGTTATAATAATTATTTGGTCACATGTCTTAGTAGAGGAAAAACCCAAACAGTAATTCATTGCCATATATGCATTCTTACTTTGTGCATATTCTAATTAAAAAACAACAACAAAAAACCCAGCAGACGTGGATAGCTGATGCTATACAGATAACAAATGTCCTCTGCAAAGGTCATTATTTAATTGTTTGTAAGTCTGTCTTTATGGACAGCAGTATTACTAACCTTATTCTTCAGTTAATTTTCCTTATTTTGTTGTATTTAAAAGTATTATTTGGCATGGTCAAAATAAATTAATGAATGACTATACGAGGGGGAAAAGGAGGAGAAATTATGTAGATGGTGGTGCAACGCAGATCTAGTGCAACTTGTATCTAATTGCTTCTAATGGATAAACTAAGAGAGATCTCAAAGAATATTATAGTGGCTTCTTGCAGTGAAATGCAAAGATTTGCTTGCTATGTTTTTAGTGAAGAAAAAGAAAAAATAAGCACAGATGGAGAGAAGTACCCCAGCCCAAGCTTATTTAAGAGAACAAGAGCCCAAGTCTTATTTAAGAGAACAAAAAGTAACAATCCTGATATTACAGAGAGAGAGAGGAGATAGATTGTTGTGTGTTTTTAAAGTGAAAAAATTGTCTTAAACAGAAAAAAAAGTAGAGGGTCTGAGTACTAAAGGAGGGCTTATGCATCCTTTGGAAATATTACAGTGGCCCTAATTTGTGGATTTTTATTTCTCCCTCGCTCCTCTGTGGTACAATGAACGTAACATTATCAGAGGGACTTGAGAGTGTTCATTGCTCAAACGGAAGTTCTTTTGGCTTGCGTTTGTCTCGTTGTTCTGATGTTTGGCTTTCGGGGCTGAATGTATGTGTGTCTAGCCATGGCTGTAGTTTCGATATCGGATTCTTTGGCAATCTTCATAAACCATGGAAGCGTTCCATCAGCTAAGAACTAGTCTAACAGCAGCAGAGAGGATGACTTGAAATACTTCTGGTCTTTATGAGCTCTCTAAAGGAGATGCTAATATCTAAAACAAAATCTCTGATTTTACATAGTATAGCAATGTCATTATATATAGAGATAGCTCATATCTTGTCCTGATTTAACAAAAATAAGGGTTAAATTTTCCTCTGTTTTATATTTCATTTGTATGTCAGCTATGTTCCCTTTTGTATTGAAAGAAGTTTCATATGAAAAGAAATTTCAATGTGTAAAATGTACATTAAATAAGAGGTGTTTTCATTCCTGATAAAATCAGAATATGGAATTATTTTCTTTTTCCTGCTTTTGTGAAATCGTTAGTCTTGTTTGGTGACAGCATCTTGTTGCCATAAAAGACTATGAAGCAAAAAGAACTCCAAACAATGAATGTTATGATTAAGTAGAAAGAGAATATGGGTTGGAGTGAAAAAAGGTAGTTGAAGAAGCAGAAGTATGAGACTGTAAGAAAAGGTACTTAAAATGAAAACATTCTCAAAATTGTTTGGCAATTGTATAAAAGTTATTGGAAGATTGTCACGTTGCATGGCTAGAAAAACTGGAAAACCTATTGCAAATACTTTGGGGATTTTATTGAGCTGTTCTACTGCAGTGTTTCTTAAAGGTAAGATTTTTTTTTTTTAAACTATGAATATTTTAAAAGGTGTGATACAGTTTTCAAGTGAAAACTATGCTTGAAAGTAAAGTTATTTCATATAAGCACTTCCTGTGTAAACTAACACTGGTTAGCGAAATATCTTTTTTCTTTCTTAAAACAACGCTTATTACTTCACTATTTCATTCGAGCATAAATACTTTTTTTTTCAAGGTTCTAAAATTTTTTTTTGTGGAAATACTCATATACTTTAATTGTCATTAGTGTCCTTAATGCTATTGGCCATATTTTTTTAGCAGTAATTAAAAAAAAAAGAAATTACACAGCATTGCTTTTACAGATACCTCAGAATTACATCATCAGAATTTGTGTATACTGCCAAAATATTTTGGTTCTAATCTTGACTCTGTAACAAGTGCTGGACTTCTCACAGGAGAAAAGCAGCAGCAGATTTGTTGGCGTTCTAGAAGCCTTGCATTATTTCTTTAAAACAGAAAACAAATGGAGCTTCAGTAGCAGTTTAACACCTACAGAGGAAAATATCCAAAGGGGATTGGCAATGAAACAAGGTGTACATGCTGTTGAAGTGAAACTATATACAGCAAGCAAGACCTCAGAGAAAGGGCCAAGAACCAGGAGTGTAGGACAGGGAAGCGTAGTTTCAAGGAGACAACTAGAGCTGAGAATTATTTCTGGGATGATGAAAGAAAGCTGAGTTGGAGGAAGGGAATTAGTTCACGAATGGGTGAATAAAAAAAGCAAGACAAAGGAGGGTGGGATAGAGAGAGGCACAGAGGACGGGTCAGGAAAAAAAGGAGCTTTAAATGGGGATGTAGAAGGGCAGGAGAGTACATTTAGGGCTGGGATGGGACCTGGAATGACATACAAGTGTCCTGAAACCTACTTTTCCTCTGCAGCAGGGAGAAATTCTGAAATCCACTGCCAAACCTGTGTGTCATTTCTGCTCTGTACCAGTACACACAGTGCAGGTGCATCCAGCCTCTCACAGGCTGAGGAACAAGAAAGAAACATGAGATGCAGGAGAGCCACAAGCTTTCAAAAGTGCTGAATTTATTGTTTCAGATATGGTTTTGGTGTTACATGTATGCCCTGTGCATTAGACTTGATTGACCTTGGGTTTTGTTTTTCTTTTAAAAAAAGATTAATACTCTATCTTAGACAATTGCAGTTTTTATAGAAAAGAAATGAAAACAAGCACTGTAATAAATACCTGCCTCTTTGCAATGTAAAATAAAAATGTTGATTTCCACCTCCTCCCTCAAGAACTCTATCATCAGCAAATGGTAATTCAGGCTGTTGGTACTGTGCAGTGTTACCTACCACAAAATCTTCAAACTTGTGCCTGAAGTTTTGTGATTCTAAATTCATGTTCTAATTCAGTGCAGAAAGAGTTTCATTTATATCAGTTCTGAGTCACCCCAACTTCCACCTCATCATCTCCCATACTTTCTGCAGTAAGCCTTGCAAATCAGCCTCAGATGAGGTTCCCTCTGCTGCATTCCTCCAGCTCGGTTCCAGTCCTTCTCTGATCCCTAGGTTAATTGAGCAGGAGCAGGATCTCCGCTGGAGTAGATCCAAGGTGTGTACCTGTCTACATAAAGGCAGTGTTACCTTCATCTGCTGCTTAGCAAAAGCTGCAGTCTGCAGTGCCAGTACCCTGATCCAGTTCCCTGTCACGTTCTGCAGCTTCCAGTTTTGTGCATTTTCCAGCTTTCAGACTCTTTCTCTCTCATTTGCACAGTCCATTAGTTCTGGCTGGCTTGAGTGGCTACCAGCAGAGGAGCTGCTGTTTTAAAGATGAGTAGTCTGTTTTAGTTGAGATGAGCCCTGTGTGTTTCATGAGGTGCTGCTGACAATTGAGACACGAAGTAGTAGTAGTATGGTGTGGTCTTCTCCATTAGGTCAAGTGGCATAAGCTGAAGATGTGCTAGATCTAACCATGTTAACAACCATTGGAATATTAGTGTGATTAATTTTAGGGCTGGAAAAAGTTAGAAACTGATTTCTAAATAGTGTTGTGACTACAGCTTTAAGACCATTGTTCTAGTTAATGAGCCCCAACATTTGGAAACTTGAGTTAAGTGACTTTCCCACCCACTTTTGAACAAGGATCTAGTTTGCAGAGCCATGCCTTCTAGGGGACAGAATGAGTGTCATGTAAAACATGATGAAAAGGTTTTTCTTGAATTATTTTAAAGCATAGCCCACGCAGGTTTTAGAGCAGTAGAACAATTTATGGGAAGTTAAGCTTCTTTTAATACTTTAATACCATCTTCCCTGTGTTACAACAGTCCAATGTTCCCTATTTCTCTTCACAGATACTCATTTTGCCTTGGTCTGTTTCATAAAGCAGCTCTAGACCGTCTCTGGAGTGACAGGCTTAATAGTTTTAGTAAGATTGGTTTTGGTAATGTTCCAATTGGTTTCATAAAGGTACCTTAACTCTAGTCATTATTTTCTCTCCTGCTTTTCCCCTCCAGTGTGTTTTATATTTCACTGCATGAGGCAATCAAGAAAATTAGGTTTTGAAAGTATTTGTAGTATATCAGTAGCACTACTAGAGTAGTCATATATTAATTTTGGATAGAAAGGTGCCTCATATTAAGGCTTTCTGTGCAGCTCCTTGTGCATTTGCCTTACGAGGCAATTTTTGCAAACTAACTCTGTTCTCAATTTCTCTCCAACACATGCTGTTAATTTGTTTTGCTTTTTGTTTTAAATAGCCTTTTAGCTTTTCTGATACGTACTTTGGTTTTGATCAGTAAGAATGGATGATAACATAGTAAAATATTACCATAGTATAATGAGTCAGTTTTGTCTTAGTATGGACTATTTTTTGCCTAAATCATGTCGTGATTCATTAAACTTGGATGTGAGCTGATTGATTGTCAGCTGAGAAGTTGCCGATGGTAATTACATGAGTAACTTGGTTGATCACCAGAAGAATGGGGAAGAAAAATATTGCTTTACTTCCAGAAATAGCTTAATTTTGATGAACAGGAGCCTAATCTGGCTGAAGTTCTTGAATTATTGATAAAATATGGTATCTGTCTTCTACCTGAAATACAATTAAGTAGTTCTCAGTAAATTAAATGAGCGTATGTTTATAAGCCATCTGCTAATGAGTTGGATTTCACAGAAGGCATTTTTGAGGCAACTGTAATGCCCCTGTTCCGCAATCATGGTGTAAGCAGTTCGGAACACAGTGTCACACGTGGGGACGTAGGAGTTGTCCATGGTGTGTATTGTACTGGAACAGCAGTGGCATTAGGCATTATACTTGAATCTGGGTTTCTTACTTCGGAATAATTTTTGTTTGGGTTTATCCTATGTCCTTTTTTCTGACTTGTGTAAATAACCCACATCTGAATGTATGGTACATACCATTAATCTGATGATTATGAATTCGGCAACCAAAGGGAATGAAGCTTTTCTCTGTTTTGATGGCTCCCTAATGAAAGAGAGAATATGCTTCTGACTGGCAAAGGCTAAAGATGATACAAAGTGATAAACTATTAGGTAGCTTCCCAGTTAAACATACTGAAGTATAAGTAGCTCTACTGCAATAGTCAGGAGGCAACAAGCTCAAGTTATACTGGAACATGCTGAGTGAAAGGTTGAAGATGTAACTGGTGCAGAAAGTTAAGAGTTTGTTCCTCTCTAGTCCTCAGAGGACAGTTTAGCCTCCTGTATTTTGTATTAGGAGTATGCACATGATCCACAAAGGGCAATAACTTTGCTGTTTGACACAGTTAGAGGTTGTGGGTGTCTCACAGGTTAGTAGTCTTGAGGAAGAAATTTGGTGCTTGTTAGTCTTCAAGCAGCTGGGCTCCTGTCAGGTTAAGAGTAACAGTTCATGCTGTTGCAGAAAACAGTGGGCCTACCTTTCATATGCTGGGCTTAGTATTCACAGCCATTTAGGAAAACAAAACAACATACTTGTTTGGTTTCCTTCCTTGATGGCCTCAGTGGCATAAAACCAAAATAGTAAAGAAGAACAAGTAAAAACATTTGTTTTTTTGACAGCAAAAGGGTCTTGCTTCTGACTAAAGTGACTGCTTACTGTTTAAAAGCAAATTGTACTTTTTCTACTCCTTGTGATAGCCTTCTCATGTTGAAACACATTAAACTGCTTCTTCCAGGATAATATCTATGAGTATTTTGAACCTATCTCCCATCTGATGGCTTTACACATCTGGAATTAACAGTGTATGTAGAATTAGGAACACTTACATGTTCTTCATCTTCAACTTAGGAACAATGTCAGTATCAGTATGTTGTGATCACACCTGACCCAACAGGGATGCTACCATATGTACTTCAAGCTCATAATGCATAATTAGGATACATTTTTATTTTTTAAGAGTAAAATTTATTTCCTGAAATTTGACAGAAAATTTTGCTCTCAGACAAATAACAATCCAGTGCAGACACACAGACTGAATACAGGTTAAAGAGGTTTATCAAAAGAAAATACTGTGTGCTCTATCCTTATTACATGAGCTCAGGTTTCTCTTAGTTGCTATATTAACTGTTCTTGATAAACAAGATACCAAGGTGGAGTTGAACAGCAGATGCTTAGATGAAATCATCATTGCTTACCTATCTGAATGTTTTAATATTAACTTGTTGTCTTTCTAGGAAGGAACAAAGTGTGAAGTTCCCTGAAGACTTCTCAGTTAACCTTCCTAATCTCCTTAAATTTATTTTACATCACTCAAGTCTGTCTTCATCAGAGCCCTGTACCAAAGAATGCCTACATAAAGAGACAGTTCTACAGCAAGGACACATCTCCCACTTAGAGAGAGAAATCCAGAAGTTAAGATCAGAAATCAGTGCCCTTCATCAGGCCCAGGACAAGCTTGAAGCACAGCTTTCTGAAGCTAGGAGAGAAGAACATAGACTACAGCAGCAAAAACACATGTTAGAAAAGCAGCACAAGACTCTGCAGCTCCACAGTGAGCAGTTACAGGCCACATATGAACAGAAGAATCAAGAATTATTAGAAATGGCTGAAAAGCTTCAAGAATTAGCTGATGCATCAGAAAACCTCCTTAAAGAGAATACTTTACTGAGAATCCTGGTGGCATCAAGGGAAGGAAAGCTACAGAGCAAAGATGAAATTAAAGAATCCCTTCAGTCAGAGCAAACAGTTTCTGAAGACAATGATGTATCAGTTTCCACAGCTACTGCCACATTAGAGGAAAAAAGGATTGATAATACTGATACCATAGAGACAGAGCACAGTAGTAGAAACAGGACAGAATGATTGCTTACACAAAGTCAAATGATGCAGTATTGGGTAGATATTTATGCAAATTTTATTGAAATTCATTGTAAATAAAGACTTTCCCCACATGATCTAGAAAAAGAAAAAAATGGAATATTTTTGTATACTCTTAAACACCCACAGCTAAAAGAGAAGAATGGAAAACACTTTCTGCACTTTACTATTGCACTAACTTGCAAACACCTATCCATTTAAATTAAAGATGCTGATTTTTAGGGGCAGCAGTGTGAAACACCTCTGCTTAAGGATGAGTTATTTTTCAGTGGCTTTCTTACAGCTGCTAGAAGAAAAATTAGACCTTTGATACATACTTTTCCATAATTTCTGAAGTTTGCCCTTTACACTGCATTCTCTTCACTGAATTAGAGATACTTCATCTGTGTAATCAGTAAACTTGAATGGACAAAGTCATCTTGCTACAATTATTCTTTTCTAGAACTTCAGCACTTTGTATCACTTTTGTATGCCAGTTATCTGACTGTCTTGAAACCTGCAAGAGCCATGTGTGACCTGTTCTCTACTGAAAGCTACAGAAAGTCTTACTGAATTAATCCTTTTCTCCTTGATTTGTAAGAGGTCTAGAATACAGCAGTTTAAGTGTAAGGTCTGGCTATACACACAAGTCTCATGAGACTAGTAGCTTAAAAAAAAAGCATGTGCCAGGGTAAGAACAGCCCTGTCAGCTGTACCCCCTATTGTACTCAGAGGCAACAGCAGGAGCTTTTTCCTACTGACAGCATTAATTTTGCTTCAAATTATAGCTTTCCATTTAAAAATAGGGCAAATGTAGCACTAAAAAATGCAAGTCAACATCCTACTGTAGAAGAAAGGGACAAGACTTTGTCTAGGCCATTATTGTCTTGCATTATAGTTACAATTCTCAAGCAAGCTTGCTAGGCCTATGTTACTTAGTTATTCCATATGTACAGGTGCAAGAAGCAAGTCTGCTTCCTGCAGAGTTAAATTACTTGGACTTTGTAACTTATCTCAGGGAACAGATGTATAGTAGCTTTATTCCTCCTATATTCAGTAGGCAAAGGAAGCTACATATAAAGTTACAGAAAACAGGTCAGCAGCCTCAAAGCATGTGTGCCTACCCTAAGAGTTTTAGAATATGTAAGCTGCTGGTGGTGGCTCAGTGTTGTTCCTTCTCCTCCCACCAAACTTTTGAGGTCTAGAACTCCCCATTTAACACATCTTTTTACAGTTCCTATAGCTAAACTATAGCACAGAGCAGGAAGTGGAAGGGGTGTCCTTATTTGGAAAGACTTTGCTATTGCTAGCTAAAAACTTTTACAAGCTGACCAGCAATCTCCCTTGCCTCTATCAACATTTGTTTTCATAGGAAAGACTGAAACTTATCTTGTGGTAGCACAGTTAAATCAAGAGTTATCTACAAGATAGATTAACTGAGTTCTATAGTTGGCGCTCTGTAGACTAAAATGCCTTTTTACAACAGGCTGCTAACATATACCTTAACTGCTAAGTACACAGACAGGGGTTCTAGGAAAAAAAAAATCATACTAGTTGCACTTACACCAGTTTTAATAAGCAACCACTGCTGCAGTTTCAGCATGCAGACCTACAGAAGAAAGAAGGCTGCTCTACTGCCATTTCAAACTCCTGGAAACCTTCTGGACCATCCCTGAGGGTTCAGTATTCCATCATTGGTTCCCAGGTTGGAATCTATCAAAACAGCAGTTTCTTTGCAGTTTCCTTCTACAGAGTTAGAGAAGTCTGTTCTAGCAGCCAAAAGCTTCACCTACCTAGCTGCAACTAAAGGAAATCAACTTCCTTTCTTGTAGCTCCTGTTTCTTCCCTCAACACATTACTGAAGGCTTATACCTTCTTTTCAAAGAAAGTATTCTGCATCAGTCCAATAAGCTGGTAAGAGCAGGAGTTGTGACTTTCTGGCTGTGCACTCAAGTTAGTAGCAGGTGTAAGCTTTAACTGTAGATGTGGTTTTGAAGGTCTGGAATCTGATCTACAGTTGTGGTTCAGGAGTGCCCTTGTATGTTATGTGCAGTCGCTGCATTGTATGATTCCCATGTGCTGTGGAACACAAAGCAAAAAGCTGCTGGCAGCCTATTTACAGTTCACAGTTGTAAATAGTTCACATTACAGTAGTAGCTCCATCAAAATAGGCTCAGCTAAACATTCAAGTAACAAAAAACACTAGTAGTGTCTTCACACCAATATATCCCTGTGTCCATTGCCGGCAACGGACGTTATGCCTGGTGAGTCAGCTCCTGTCACAGAGGAATTAGGATACACAGTTGATGCAAAGTGCAACTTCTCAGTGCATGCAGTTGCAAACAAAGCTTATTTAATCCTCATCAGGGTGTTTTCTGATGAGTAGTGTGCATGTGACCACATTCTTCACAGTATAGATTCTTCTGCTGGTTACACACATCATGAGCATAGTCCATATACGTGTGTTGCTCCAAGTTAGCTATGTACTTCTGTGCCATTTGGAGTTAGCTTAGCTTTCCTCTCTACACAAGGTCCTTTGGCAGAGTACTGCACCAGAAGAAAGGGCTCTTTGGTTTCTCCTTCACCCACAATGCTTTCCTCATCTTCAGACTGGCTGATTCTCTGCAGACGCAGGTAACACCAGCAGCCCAGTATCAAGGCACCAAGAGCTGCAATAGCAATCAAAATAACAATAACAGTCACCACTCCAGTGGTGGGGCTATGATCCATAATAGACATGGTCAATATTTCAGATTATCTGACTTCTTTATTCTTCTGTCCTCACTATCAGGCTTGCTGCATCTTCAAACACCTGCAGCAGAAAAAAATAAACACTTAATGAAGTTATGCAGTTGTGCCATATTCAGCAACATCATATTTGTTGTTGGTAGCCTTCACAATGGCACATGACCCTCTTGCATTCAGTGCTTTGAGCTTCTCACATGCCTACACTTCTTACTCATTTTAAGCTACTTCTTCAAACTGCCTTTGAAGATGCAGGTTTCTACATTAAACTAAAGCAAATGAAAGCTAAACTTATTTCAACTCTTGACATGCTTGTCAAGATAGCACATGGTCAGCCTGCTAAAAGGTAACAATTTTTACTAGGAGACAGAAGATAAGACACACACTTACTAGACTGCATGGAAGTTATGCAGTTTAATATTGAGATATTTCAGACTATTTAGTACAAATGCTAGATCATGGGTGAGCTCTCAAATCCATGACAAGGTAGCAATTCAGCTACCTTTAGTTTTCATAAAGGAATCCTGCAAATGTACATTTGAGAGTCAGATTTTTCAATTGTAAATTAAATTTTTCAAATTTAATTTACAATCATCCTTCTTATATACTAACAGTTCTAGGATTGGTAAGCTAATTGCAAAGGTAACTGCAATGCCAGTGCATTACTGTAAGCCTGTCTGTAACACTGGTCTGTTTAGAAGGGTTGACTCCACTGTAATTCATTGGTGGTTCATTGAGCTGGTAAGAACAACAGATGTTGCTTTATATGCATTTCTCATGAGAAGTAGGTAGAGCTAGATTTATTGAACGCTAACAAAGCACAAGGGCAAGATCATTATTTTAAGCTTCTGCTCCTCTTAGTGGCTTTCAAACCCCTAGAGCATGGTAGTGCATCAGGACTGCAGCTGAAATTGGAACAGAGGCAGCAGGCAGGAAAATGGGAGAGCAGGCGCTCCGAGACTTCGTTTGTCTGTCTGGCAGGACAAGGGAATGTCTTTTGCTACTTCCACTTCCAAATTCACAACACTATTTAAGGGGTCACGTAAGCCTCACTGTAAATTTCAAAGTTATTTTTTACAAAGTTGGTAGCTTTACATTCCTCCACTTCAACTAGGACATAAGACAAAGTAAAGTCATTTATTACCTTTTCTTTCCTACTACCCTAGCTTTATAACAAGGCAGAAACTCATGGGAGACTTCAGTAGAGCCCAGAGCCAGTCCTACCCAAGAACATCTTCCCTCTATACTGCTGTAGGAATCAGGTGAGGGTTCAACACTACAATTTCAGGTACAACAGCTATAGTCCCCAGCAGTTGTAAGGACAGCTGCAAGTGCAGAGCAATGTCAGCATTTCATCTGACATGTAGCTGCTGACTGGCAATGGAGTAACCGGAGTATCTGCTGGCTACTGCACGTGCCAGTCTATTGAGGGCCATGTACCCTTCCAGGAAAGGCCCTTCCTCACCATCCTGGTTGCAGTATCTCAGCTGCAACAGCAGCATCTTCACACAAACCCCTCAGAAGACAATCTTAGCCAACATTGAGGCAGAACCATTACATTATTGTGAGTGTTACCCACCGCACTTGAATTCTCACCAGCATTTCAACTTGAAAAAGTCAAGGCAATTACAATGCAGTGTCTTTACCAAGGGAATTCAAGCTAGAGACTGTTTATTCCCTAACATCTCATGGAACAGCAGACCCATGCACACTGCCACACAGCCATTTCAGCAAGGACACAACCACTGAAGAGAAGTTCAGCATGAATGTCCTTAGGGTCCAGTGTCATAACAAACTTGCACACACTCTGGCTACATTTCCAGCCCTGTAAACTACAGCAAACAATAGCTTGCAGTGTACCTGATACAGCCAACCGAGTACTGCAGACCCAACTGTGCCCAAGAAAAGCAAAACAAGACTAACCACAGCACACACCTTCAGCAGAGCAACATGCCCACTGCAGCCAGGGAGGTGTATGATTTTTGTCATGATCATCTTGGTTCTGCAATGCTTATTCAACAGAGGGTGATCAGCTGAGGGTGATTAAGAGTGACTTCATTTAGCTCATCTTCTTCAGAGCATGTCTGAACTGCAGCACTGCTTGGTCTAGCCACCACACTACAGCATCAGCATGAAAGGTGGTTTACCTTGCTTCTCGTGCAGGCACTGCATGTCCACAGTAAGCCCTCTTCTGCAGCTCGCATAACCGCTAGCAGCAGTGACAACCTACTAGCACTGTTTCTCTACGGCAGTTTGGTGCAGCACATAACCTTACATTAGAACTCAACAGTTACTGTCACCTAGAAAATAGCTTTTAATACTGGAAAAAATGAGCATTGCAAATGCTACCCCTTTGCCCGACTTCAAGCTAGTAGATAGCATCAGCTACACAAGGTTTGAAACTTTGCACATCGCTGTCCTCTGTATCACCAGGATCTTTTGGCAAGCTGTTTTTAGACCTCAGCGTAATAGCGAGGCACAGACCTTTGCAAGCAGCCTTGAGAAACAAGGTTGAAAACAAGAACTAGATGTTAGGTCCAGGTAACAAAGGGCCTACATCTATCTGGACTGTAAGAGAATATATTTCTCCCTCTTTTAACAGCCACATACTGCAATTGTCTCAGTTTGATCTGGAAAACCCAGGCAGGTCTGCAAGTTCCTATCTGAAGGAAGAGATGGGGCTCTAAGGATGCAGACCTCCATCTTGAGACAAGGCTTTCTCTTACCAGGTTACACACTGGCTCTTGCCATTCCCCTTTCTTTTGGGATCTTGAGGAGTACAGCTGGACCAGGAAGTCCACTGTTTGAGAAGGTGCTTTTTCTGAACAAAGCATGCACAGGAGCAGTTCAGAGGAGTTATAAGAGGTATGCATTTATTGCTGTCCTTGTCTGAAGAGCTGCATAGTACTTTCTTAATTCTTATTTACTGTTCTCGGACACTTCTGTTTAGCAATACTGATTAATAACACTGCTACTGCTTGCTTGAAGTTGTGAGGCAATTTAACCCCTACTTCCACCTTTTGGAAAAATGCTGGTGTTAAACTATACAAAGATCAGACCGAAGTCTCCAGTAGCTCTATTTCTCAGCAGACACTGGGAAGAACCTTGCAGGCCCACATGCACTCCATGAGTAGGTAACTTCAGTCACAGGCAAATCCCACACTGCTGATGCTTCTGGAATATATTAAGTTCTGCAGCAGATGCCAGTCAGGAGTGTAAGTAGAGAGTTTCAAGGTGCAGAGCTGGCCAGAAAGAACATGCCGATTACTTTGGGTATGACAGCTTGCTTTCTTTATCCTCTGCTCTAGCAAGTCAACTCAGCTTAGTCATGACAGCACCTTCTAGAATTAATTCACATGATTCCTTTACAAAAGGACAGATTTAACAACTGTGAGGTCATCTTTTCTTGTAGAAGTCTAGCTCCTAACTTTATACACAATGAAGAATATTATCAGACTCATCCTTCCAGGCCAAGGGTCATGTGTATTTATTATCACCAATGAACTGGACAAGCTCTTTAAGACAACTGAGATGTTAACAGTCATAGATAAAAACAGAACAGAAAGTTGCAGGACCTGTCCTTGAGGCAGGATGTTATACATGAATGCTCACTCTGTTTAGACTAGAAACTTGCTTCCAGCTGCATTAGGCTCTCCAGTGTCTCAAGAGATTTTGCTTTGATATGGCAAAGTAGGAAGTGTTAGAGATGGAAAACTAGGACCTCCAGGATGCATAAGACCTATTTATCCTTATTAAACAATTTCCAGTCCAAATTTGAGTGCAACACAGCAACTTGCAGATTCTTCTTTAAAGATTTTTCTTGGCCAAATCCACAGGTTTTTACCTTTTAAATTCTGAATGCTTTTTGATTTGATTAAAAATTTAAAGCATCTGCATCAGTTTGAACTCTGGGACAAAAAGAGCAGAGCTTCCTCTGAATCTACGGCCCATTAAATTCCCTTTCTCAAGGCACAGAAACAAGTGTGATATCACATTAATAATGTCAAGATAATCAGGTTGCATCAAGAAGCCCTTTCTAGCTTCTATTTGGAAGGCTCCTCACTTCTTTGCACCATACCATAGTTAATGTGAAGAGCTGTAGGAGAAAACAAGCTTACAATCTTTAGAAAAATTATTCCATGGACATTCACCTTCTAGGAAAAGGAAGATAAATTTCAGATAAAATTAGATAACAAAATTTAGATAAAATTCAAGGTCACTTTCTCAAAGCACTTCAACTCCACTTCTTAATGATGTAACAGTGTAGAAGTCATTCCTTCTTCCCACTCAAGGAGTTTGGAGCCAGCACTCTATATAAAGTCAGGTATTAAGCATCTGTACAGATTTGAGTGGCACAAACAGCTAGTTAATGGTGCATGATAGTAACTGGGATGGTAGCACTGATATTTTATTAGCTTTGAATAGTTCTGTTTCAAACACCTGCAGTGTTCTGGCACTGACAAATACCATATTGTTGCTAGCCCATGCTGCTATTTTTCTGGCTGTAGGTCACTGTATACCTAGAGCTAAAGCTCTCCTGCAGCCTTAATTCTATCCTTAGCAAGTACATTTGCATGTTGTAACTGTACTAGTAAGACCTACCAGAGAGGCCTTTGGTTTCTGTGTTGTCTTCTAGATGCAGAACTCAAATCTCACTACTCTTTCCACCAGCAACTGACTGAAATCAAGGTTAAGCTGTCTTCAGAGTCCACTTCTTGACAGGAGAAATACAGCATTCTGTAGAACCCCTTAAACTGATCTAAAGGGGGATTACAACTAGCTTTCAGACTCACTTTTCCCTTAAAGCATACCTGAGCTAAAAAAGCCCAGGAGCATACCAGAAGCAGCAGTGACTTCATTTATCACTTTTGCTGTAAGACATTAAAAGCTGTAAATTCGTGATCTTCAAAGGGATTGCTAACGCTCTCCATCCATACTTGATGGTGCTTTAGTGTTACATCCCCTCCCACCACACTTGCTATCAGAGCAAGCATCTAAGCATATTTACTCATTAGCAAGATCAGTCAGATTCACTGGTGGAAAACGCAAATAGCCTATCTC